TTTAGACTATTGAAAAGAAAGGATTTTACTTTGAGGACTAAAGTGTGGCTGACCCAATCCATGGTATTTTCAATGGTCACATATGCGTACGGCCACATATGTCTGACACTATGATAAAGGAGACAAGGTTGAAGTTGTCAAGGATTTACCAGACAAGAGATCAAAAGAAGAATTGCAATAGGTAAATCTGTTGTACAAGATCTCTTTAGAGTATTGAAAAGGATGTTACATCGAGGACTATGGTGCACCTGACCGAAGTCATGGTATTTTCAGCTGCCTCATACGCATGTGAATGCTGTGCATGGAATAAAGAAGACCAAAGGCTTCTGAATTGTGATGCTAGGAAAGAATATTGAAAATACCATTGACCACTAAAAGGACAAACTGATCTGTCTTGGAAGAAAGTGGCCAGAATGCGATTTAGAAGCAAGGATGTTGTCAGGAGACCGGTCCCGGAGAAGGACATCATATTGGATAGAGGGAGAGCAGAGGAGAGGAAGTCCGTCAAGGAGATGGCTGCAACAACAGGCTCAGTCATAGGAAAAATTTTGAGGATGGTCAGAACCATGCAGTTTCATTCTGTTGTGCATACGGTTGCTGCGGTTGGAGCCAACTGGAAGGCTCCTAAAAGAAACAGCAGGTGAGGTGGTGAGTGACTCAGATTACACCCCCCCTAAATCTCTTCCATCAGCATAGCAGAGAACGCCCGCATGTTGTTGCTGTCGTTCGGTTTCATCAAGCAGGTTCTGACCTATGGCTCGACCTTATGCACAACAGAATGAAACCCTTCCCTGTCTTGTCCCTTCCTTACAGTAAGGCCAGAGTGCTCCTTAGAGGCAAGGATAGGGAGATTTCAATTACAGACTTTGGACATGTTGTCATGAGAGATTAGCCCCTGGAGAAGGACAGCATGTTTAGGAAAGTTGAAGGGCAGTGAAAAAGAGGAAGGCCCGCAACGAGATGAACTGACACAGTGACTAAATCAGTGGGCTCAGGGATAGGAACAAATGTTCCTTTTTAATGACCTTTTGCTTTTCTCGTGAATGATGGGTCTTGATGGCTTCCCACAGCTCATCAGTCCATTAATGTTCAAGGTGTCACATCTGTTGAGACATTCTAGAAACTTAGGTGGGATAGACTCATGGCTGTGTATTGGATCTCATGGACTTGATTTCATTTTCTTCAGCTTTAACCTTAACTTACATGTAAACAATTGATAGTCTGTTTCATAGTTGACACCTGGTCTAGTTTTAGCTGTTAATAAACTTCTCTACAGTCTCTTCCCAGAGATGTAGTCAATTTGATTTCTGTGTATTCCATCTGGAGAAGTCCATGTATATAGCTACCTTTTGTGTTGTTGGAAAAAGGTATTTGCTATGAGTAAGTCATTGGTCTTACAAAAATTCTATCATGCGATCGCCAGCTTCGTTTCTATTACCAAGTCTCTATTTTCCAACTACTGTTCCCTCCTCTTTGTTTCCAACTTTTACATTCCAATTGCCAGTAAATAACAAAGCATCTTGATTGCATGTTTGATCAATTTCAGACAGAAGCCCTTGGTAGAATTCTTCAATTTTTTAACTAGATTTTGTGGTTGGTGTGTAAATTTGTGTAATAGTTATATTTATTCATGATATTTCCTTGAAAGAAGATAAATATAATCCTATCAGATAGCATTGTACTTCAACATTGATTTTTGCAATGCCTTTTCTGATAATGAATGCCACACTATTCCTCTTGATTTGAGTTGTTCCCAGCATAGTAAATCATATGATTTTCTGATTCAAAATGGCCAATATCAGTCCATTTTAGCTCACTCATGCCTAGGATACTGATCTTTATGCATTCAATTTCATTTGTGATGACTTTGAATTTTCATATTCATACTTCATACATTTCAAGTTCTGATCATTAACAATTATTGCACCTGTTTCTCCTTATCCTGAGTCATTAGCAAGTGAAGATCCCAAAGGCTCCACTCGCACAGGCTATACTCCATTCACATCACCATGTTCTGCTCCCCTTCAAGAAAGCAGATCCTCTTCGGTCACATTTCCAGTGCCCTCTGACCCAAGGGGCCCATCCTCCTGCACAATCTGGGATAATGTTCTGCTTCCATTCATTAGGCTTTCAGTACCTGACAATATTTTGAAACTATGCATGAGGTTTTCTGTAGCTACTTCCTCTGAAGTAGGCAAACTCCTTCTTCGATGTCTGTTCTTAGTCTGGAAGCTCTGCTGAAACCTGTTCATTTTGGGGGCTCCTGATGGCATTTGAAATACCAATGGCATTAACTTCCAGAATCACAGCAACACACAAGCCACCACAACAAAATGACAGACAAGTGGTGGTCTACCTTTCTAAAGGGTATAAACCAAACCATCCTTTCTTCCTTGGGGATATAGTCTACTGAAAGAAAAAAGCCTATCTCCAGGAAAGCCATTCCTCATGGTATAAAAGCAATCTCACATAGAGAGGAGTCCTAGAGTCATCCAGGAAGAGGGGCCAGCAGGGCAGCATATTTGCATCTCTGTCTAAAGCTTTGGAAGCCTAGGCCAGAGGCTGTGGAAGGAGACCATGGGGAAGAGCAAAGGTGCCAAGCCAAGACCAGAGGCCAAAGTAAGGAGACCATGAGACAAAGCAGAGGAACAGCACTGAGACTGAAACAGCCAGCTGGTAGGCTTCCTGGCCTGCAGAGCCAGAACAAGGAATCACTCATCTAGAGAGGCTGAGGATTAGATAGAGATATTTGGCTGCTGGCTGAGAAGAGGTGCTGCTCTGGACCGATGATTGTATCTTACTGTTTAATGATCTTGATTTTCGGTAATCTGTTAACTTAATAAATCACAGATCTGGAGGAAGAGTAGCCAAAACTTACCTGAACTAGGTACATGGGAATCTACACTGACATAAAAACGTACCAGAGACTTTATGTATTATTCAAATAACAATAGCAAGAAGCATAAAGTAAAAAAAAAAAATAGAAGGGAAAAAAAGAACTGAGTTTAGATGTTGGATGCTAAATTAGTAAAAAAATTTCTGATTAGCAATGTTTGCATAAAATGGAGACAGTTTGCAAAATGATTTCTGATACCCCTTTCAGATTGAAAAATATGATTAAATCAGAGTATTAAAAACATGAATTGTATGAACTCTGAATCACAAGGTTAAAGCAAGAATTTGTGAATTAAGTTGTAACTACAGATTAACCCAGCAAAGAGCAAAAAAATGGTAGTGAACAGATTTCCCCTATGTTCTCATTCATACAGAATAGAGAACTTAAATAAGATGGTACTTTTACTTACCTTAATATAACTATACTTTCTCCCCTTAGTAATTGTATACTCCCCTTCCAAATTTTAGTGTTTGCTAAAATTTTAATTTTAGGAAATCTTAATTTGAAAGTTGAAAATTGTGTGACATTACAGCAAAACATTATTTTGTTTCTAAACGGATTATACCAACTGAAAAGTCAAAGTTTTATGCAGCAATATATTTCAGTCAACAAGTATCATACATGTTCCTGATGAATATGTTTTGTGAGGAGATTTCTAATGAGTTGCAAGTTAGTAACACATGAACGATCAACTAGACCGATGTAAACACTGGAAAAAAGAAAGGGAAAAAAAGGTTTTTTTAGGTAGAAATATTTTCTAATTGTGAAATTATACTTAAACAATTTTGCAAAAGGAAACCTTACTCTTCAATGGCTGGACAATATGCTACCATTTTGGTCAAGGGCAGCATCATGCTGTGCTGCTCCTCTTTCAATGCTGGACACATTTAAACAGGAGCAACCACTGCTCTGGGCAGATAGGCTTCCTCTGATCAAACAGGGAAAGCCATTACATAAAGAGGAGCCCTAGTCAAGATCCTATCTTAAAAAGGTTCTGCTGGACAGTAGGAAGTTCAGTAAAGACACTGGATCTGTTCTTTTCCTAAGCCGATCACAGTGGTTGGCACATACATATGAAGGGGTGATAAAGGGAAGGACAGACGGCCAATGAAAACTTTACAGACATTGGGAAGGCTAAGTAATAAAAAATGAATTCACTCGCAAGAGGATTATGTAGTTTACTAGGAACAGTTTTCGTATGCAAAATTGTGATAATCGTTTTTTTTTTTTAAGCTACAACATGAACAGGAGTAAAATCAAAAGCTCTCAACTTCTGAGAACACTTTGGAAATCAGAAAAGAAAAAAAATCAGAAAATTGATGTCACTCTCTGAAACAAGAATTTCGGTGATGAAAATACCAGCTTTTCAATCTAACCTTAGGGAAGGGAAACCGTGGAAATGATTACTAGTTTGAATTAAACACATTTGATGCTATTCATATCACTTAACGACCACCACTGGAACTATGCTTCATTTAAGTTGAGGAGTAGGAAAAATACATAACATGTTGCATTTTATGAACACATTCAATTTTTGATAAAAGCTCAATAAATTAAAAATAGCTTTCCACATACTCTCACCATCTCCCGAGTGCACATAGAAACTTATTTTTAACGGGCATCACTGACTTCTCGATTGTTAAATTCATCCACAATCTACCATGGTCAACTCCCTTCCCGCTTTACTTTACAGTACGGGGCTTAAAAATACAAGGAAGCCGATTTCGCTTCCAAAATCCACGTGGAAGTTGCCACGTCTCTGTAACAGAACAAACTAATGAAAACAAATTACCCAGGCAGGCACCTGCAAAAAAGCCCCCGGCCATGTGGTCACATTCTGGCCTAACACCTGGGCAATCGGTAACTCGGGTGTACTTTTCTTTTCCCCACCCCCACCTTCAAACTCCAGGGAACAGGACGGCGGTCGTCCGGGACTCCGGACCCGGCCTCGGGCCCAACGAGGATGACAGTTCGGGGCTCGGCTCCATGGCAGGAGGGGAAACGCCAGCGGGGGTCCCAGGCGCCCCCCACCCCCACCAGCTCCGCTCCGCAGACCCCGCCTCCCGCCGCGACGTGGCCACTCCTCCCACCTCCACCTCCTCACCTCGGGTCGGGCTCACCGACTTCACATCCCTCAGCCCGCTCCAGCCTCCACAAACCACCCGGTCGGTTTTCTGTTTCTCTTTCCACGCCCAACGGAGCGCGGAGGGCAAGGTCGAGGATGCCAGCACCTCGGCGTTTCCGTCTTACCCGGGCCAGGCTTTTAATCACACCGCACCGCACCAGAACACCTTCCGACC